CATCAAGGGTTGTAGAGATCCGAGCGCTGGCGAAGCGACGGATTCACCGGAAAGGGCGTAGACGACCGCAGCGACGATGCAGTAGATGGTGGTAGTGGCGCACTTCTCAATGGTAACAGCGCGTGGGTAGTCGCGAGAGGGGTCCTCCATCTCAGCAAGGACGGTCGGAAAAGCTTGATTGCCGCTGAAAGCAAAGGCGATGTTCAGGAACGCAGCGACAGCTTCCGTGAACGTGGGGCTTCCAATAGCTTTCAGGTTGAGAGGCGCTCCCGCATTGCGGGGACCTTGAACACCAAGCACGATCATGACGAACATGACGGCCGAGAAGATGGAGATGGTGCAGGGCCACGATGCCCATGACACGAAACGCATACTACGCGGTACGCACATGGCCCACATAGCAATGGCCGCAACGACCGAGAAGGCGACCGTGCAGGTCGCGTGTTCGCTGACAGTGTTGAGACCGATCGAGATAGTGACGACTGCCGACGCGCTGATGAGAGCCATGTTGATGAGGAAACCAATGGCAAAGACGGCTTCGAGCCAGGGACCACCGAGGACGCGTCCGTAGTCGACAATGTTGAGCATGTAAGGATACTTGCGCCAGTACTGAATGAGATTGTAGGCAGTGTACAAACTAAGCATTCCCATGCCGACAATGGCAACGATACCAGGAAAGAATCCAAGGGTGTTCAGAGCGGCTGGCAATGACAAGATACCGATGCCAATCTCATTGGTCATGAAGATAATGACAGTTTGTGTTGTGTTGAGTTTCTTCGTTCCTGCGCTGCTTGTGGGGCGTTTGCTTGCATTCTGGATATCGGAAACGTCACCTAGGTTCGTGTCGTGTTCGGAGGAGGTTTCGAGCTTTTCGGGGTCTCCGTGCTTCTTTCGTCGCAAAGGGTCTTCCGGATCGTGAGTAGGGTCTGCTGCAAGGGCTACTGTAGGTCGCTGGGCAGATACAGGCAGATCATTGAGAGCTTTGGGCTTGTTGTCGAGGTCGTGTGTATGTTGCATGGGAAGGTTGCCATGGGCAGAAGGGACGTCTTTGTAATCCATGGTTAGAGGGAGACCAAGCACTTACGCCTGCATGTACCGAGTGAGTGTGGTCGAGACGGGGGAATCGAAGTGACAACGAAGATGCGACCAAGAAACGAACTTGTCAATGGAGACGTTTGATGAGGGCTAAGTTGAGAGGATAAATAGATGCGGGAAAGAACGATAGACTGGTCACAGCGCAGCGTGGAGGAAACCAAGGACATGGAGAATTACGTATTAACGCACATCGCACGCGGACCAAGACAGTAGCTGGTAGTAGCGTATCGTAGAATGCGTCCGCACTCTAACGGGGACTGTGCACCCAATAATGGCTGGACTTGAAGGCAGGGTCTCGCAGAGGCGTGGAGACGGGATGGTACTTTTATCCACTTCAGGTATGTGGGCCTCCCTAGATGCCGTATAGATGAAGCTGTTAGTAAAGGAACCGAGCTGGTGTTTCGCGAAACGCGCAAGTGCGGCACGCTGGGTCCTTCCGGACGATGCGCAGCCTTCCCACGCTGCCGTTCCTATCAAACGATGCAACGCGATGCGGAGGAGGGTCTTGGTGACGTCTGATGGTCATCCACGTCGGGAGCGACCGCGCTAGCGAGAGCCGCATTTGACAACGCGAGAACCGCGCCGAAGCAGCCCGGTGTCACACCCGACAGCTTGGCCGCTGTCGTCATCGGTCTGGGCGTGCTGAGATGAAGTCCATCAAGCCCGAATCCTCAAATAGCCATGTGTATGCGTGAGCGCGTCCCAGATCACAGGAACCTTCCGAGTATTCAGACGATGGACAGACGTTGATTCAGTGTATAGGCCATTCCCGGGGCGAAATGGGAAGGAACCCGAAGGATCCATTCGCGACAAGGACATGCCGAGTCGCATTGGCAGTGAACGCGAAAATTTCGCGCGGTAAAACATCGGCAGCAGTCCATAATCTCTTCATGTTACATCCAGTGAAAGTGAGGCACTTGGAAACCGGAGTGCACGGACGGTTGGCATGGCGGAGGAGTTGGGAGAGCCAAGGCCAGTCTTATGCGATAAACTTCGACGGCAGATGTCCGCTTCGAGTGTTGATAGGTTCGCAGACATGTCCAGAGCCACTCTCATCCCATACTAGAAGCCGCGGACAAGATGAGGAACATGATCTCTTCTTCAATGGTCGCTGTGGGAAGACACTGAGCCGTATATTTCGGTAGATGGTCGCATAAGGTATTGAATCGAAATAGCCAACAGTGAGGTTTCCGTGGGTCGCAGCACATCAATCATTACTCCGGTTCCGCTGCAAGGTACCGACTTGGCTGTATCTGTGGAGTCGCATGTCGCAAGGGAAGTCGCATAGGAAGACGCAGTGTTCTGCTGCTGGCATGTCGCTTTGGAAAGATGATTCGTGTCGCTCTTGGAATAGACCTTGTTGGCCAGGAAGGCTGTTAATTCAGTCAGTAAGACGTGGGGAAGACCGAGTATCTCTCCGCGATATCTGGAGCAGGTAGGTCAGACGAGAGTAAGATATTGAAGTCAGTGTGGGATGAAGTCGTGGGTATTGTCGGTTGTTGGTCACATAGAGTAGGAGTTGACGAGAGGCCCCTATTGAGTGGGCACGCATTTCGGGTTACGCGTCAGCTGAGTCATGCGCCTTCATTTTCCCATCTGTCGCTTCCTCATACGCGATCTTCGATCCACCGATCCTCAAAACTCGGCCACAATCGCGATCTTACACTGTGCGCTCCTTCATCATTGTCATCGCGAAAGATGTCTCCCGTTTCCGCACGTACTGTACCCTCTGCAGGTTCCCAAGGTGCGGCGCAGGAGTGGCTGTGAGGCGGCTGTGAGGCGCACGGAGGCCCTAATAGCCGTTCTTTCCGGGCGGAACGGCGCCAAAAAGCTTGGCCTACGACTATCATCACCATTCTCAAACCTTTCGGGGCCACGCAGGAGCGTCAAGCATGTCAACTCCCTTCTTGGCACGTTGTAGTACGCGCATGCCTTTCCCCAGGAATAACAGGAGGTGAAACGAGATCGATAGCTAGTCCCCACTTCATCTTCGATGTTGCTTCCACGGCTTCTCCATCTTGTCACCTTCCGCTGACTTTCCCTTTGCCGTGTGTTTGAGCGAGAGTCTGCCGTGTACCCTGCTTGTTCGATAATCCGCCCCCGAGAGACCTGCCGCTATTCCCGTCGTTGACGAGTCACTCATTTTTGCGTCGCTTCCTCCTCTCATTCTCCACATTCACCATGATACCCCGGATAGCGCTTTCGGCGCTTTTGTACGCCTCCACCGCATTCGCAGTGTGCACCAAGCTCGAAGACTGCCCCCAGTTTGAGGCACTGAAGACCGACGAATGCCAAACCTACCATCATTTCCTCGCCCGCGGCTCTACCTCGCCATACCCGGGCCACGTCATCGAGACTGTCGGCAAAGTGTGCAATGCGCTCAACACCAAGGAAAACCCCAAGGCCTGCGGATATGAGGATGTGCAGTACTGGGCCATGAACGGCGGAGAGCGATGGTGCATATCGTCGCACGAGGGAGCCATGAATGGCGCCGAGCAAATGAGGAACTACACTGCGAGGTGTCCGGACAGCCACCTGATCGTGATGGGCTTCAGCCAGGGTGGAAGTGTCGCGCTCGACGTCCTTGGTGGCGGTGGCGGTCCACTCTGGGGCTGCACACAGGAAGACAACCCACCCATGAACATCTCAAGTGCGCCGGGATCCAAGAGTACGACTCCAATCTTCTGTCAACCTCGAGGCCTATACTGACATTTCCGCAGTCGTAGCAGCACTTGCTTTCGGTCCCACGCGACGTTCCGCGAACCAGTCCTTCACCCACGGCGGCGGCGAGATCTCGGATGGCGGCGCCCCACGAACAGCGGAGCAAAACGCAGGTCTCCAACCCTATGCCGACGCCGGCAAGCTTCGCGAATACTGCCAGCCTGGCGACCCTATTTGCGCGCCTCATACCAAGGACAAAGACATGTCCAAGCACCTGAACTACTTCGACCTGTTCGGTGACGAGGCAGCGCAATGGGTCATTGACCTCGCAAAGAAAGCTGAGAGCGGCGACCGTACCTCAGGTGCGAAGAGCATGCTCCACCAGACCGTCTCGCACCCCATTGCCAACGTATTCGTCCTGATCTTTGTGCTATTCGCCATATAGTAAGTCTCTTCCATACACCTGCAGTAGTACCATAGAAGCGCGATAGACCGAACGGCGTTAAGAAGACGGACTTTGGAATCATACAGAATGAAGACTTATACCTTGCAGTTTTGCAGTGAGGAAGTTCGCCGTATGGAAGACCACACGCTTCCCCATGTACACCCGCGTCAGCTCGACCGAATCCGTATGAGCACGATTAGCCCCGTTCCACCGCCGGACCCGAGTTGGACAAACACATGTTGCAGGTCTTGGAGATGCTTGGCGCCAAAGGTGTGGCTTCGCAGAGCCGCATATCCGGGACGAGGCACCGCCACACCAGCCAAGGATGGGAGAGAGCTCTTTGAAGAAGAATGAAGGATGCTTAGATGTGGGACGCGCCCAATATGTACCTTTGTCGTACATGCCAAGATACCCTTCAATTGTACCATACTATATGGATATAGCTACATTTAGTACTAGTCGACCGGATCGGCTAATCAAGATATATTAACTTCGCATCTGGCCCTGTTCCGCAATCTCCGTACCCGTCCTCCCAGCTCAAGACCGATCGTTTGCAACATTTTATCATACACGGGCTTGCACCTCGTGCGGGGAAAAAGGTAGAGCGCGTCTGAAGACTGCATTGGGATAAAGCAAGCAAATTGGAAGGTGTTCGGTCTTTTACTTAATGATGTGCTTGTTTTCACGTCATGCATATGGAAGACCTTTGTTTCAAGCCCGTCGCGAATCGCGTGTGAGCCTTTCCATGTTGCTATGGTGCTATTATACATGGGCCAACTGATGCACAAGGCACCTAAGTCTACTCCCCTTCCTCCGCATCCACGAAGGCCTTGTCGCTGCTCGACTCGAAACCTTCGTCCTCACCCTCAGAGTCATCAACGTGCTCAACAGCCGGCACAAACTCCTCCTCATCGTCGTGGTCATCGAGATCTTCCTCGTCTTGAGCATCGAGCTGGCCGGGTACGGCTCGGGCGACATGCTGACGCAAAGCTGGATCGTCTCCCAGAGCGAGCTTGCGGAAGAACGGATGATTCTCCGTAAGCGGCTTGCCAGTAGTAACGAAACCCATGGGGGTGTGCTCGAAGTCTTGACCCTTGCGGCGCAGAGCAAGCCATTCATGTACTGTACGCGTGGTTAGTGGTTTATCTCATGTTACATGTTCAGGAAATACGTACCGAAAGTAAGAGGCTTCTTTGCGAATGCATCCTTCTCGGGGTGTTGGGATAGGTTCTCGTCGAGACCAAGGTACTCCAGCAATAGGTAGTACTCATCCCACTCGAGGTAGAGACGCCCAGCGAATATTCCCATCTCGACCCGAAGCCAGACGGGAGCTTTGAAGTCTGCAGGCAGAGCCGGTATCGCATAATAGTCAAGCTGGTTGAAATGAAGCATCCTTCGCGTGACGGGTGCAGCATAGATGATGAGGTAGACGTTGACACTGTCTTGAAGTACTTGTTGTTCTTGCATGATCGGGATGAGCTGGTTGGCTTCCTCAGGGCTAACAAGCAGCGCTTGCTGGCTGATTGTGCTCCAAAGAACCCAATGAGAGGAACGGATGTAATTGTCGTTGGGAGCGTAAACCTCGATTGTACGAGAGAATTCAGCTGAGATCCACGAACCGGACTTCATCGAAGAATGGACCGTATGCTTGAGACCTAGTGAAGTCATCCGTCCCAGTACCGAAAACATGGGTTGATAGGCATCGCTTCCAGGAACGAGACGTCCAAACTCTGCGAAACGTCGAATATCTCCATGCAGCTTTCTTGTCTTGTGTGGATTGAAGAGGATGGCTTGTTGTACTTCACGAACGTTTTCCACCTCGACTTCGATCTCGCGCTCAGTCTCGCGCTCTTGCTCAATTTCTACTTCCTCTAAAGCTGATGCATGGACGGCTGAACCTCGATCTTGGAAGTGTTTCTTGCGAGTTACAAGCTTACTATAGATACTCTGCAGCGAAGGCTTCCATGCGATAATGGCCGTGTTGGGGCCAGCCCGCCGGTGACGCTCGCCTTTAGGTTCGTATAGCTGTTTCAGTGAAAGAGCCTCCTTGATGCGGACCGTTGTCAGATAAGCCTCTCGCGATGAATCATCATGCAGGTATTCGGGATATTCCAACCGGGCTTGCTCTTGCTGTAGATAATGCAACGTTTGTGCGAAATAGGAGGGCTCGAGCTGTTCCATAGTGTCGCAGGTCTGGCCAAACACCCAGCGAAGGACGTCACCTGAATTGGGTTGATGGAACTCACTGGTGCCCTTTGGTAAGCGATCCAGTATACCCTGATGGACTTCAACAGGAGAAAAGAACGTAATCGACTGGGTTTGACCGAGAAGCCGCAGTCTCATGGCAGCCTGGACCAATGTGTCCTTTGTCAAATGTTGCCCGAGCGTCAAGGCGGCCCTTGCGTGAGGTGGAAATTTGATGTCAGTACCTCTACAGTGGCTCTCGTCTAGGTACACGACGCATCGATCCAGATCGTCGACGAATGGCGATGCGACGAGTGGTACACATCTTCCCGTACGATACAATGCCCATACACGATGATCATCGTCAAAGTATACAGCTGCTGCGGCATCATGGTCGGCATCAAGCCAGGCTTTGGCGAAGTCTTTGTTTGAGTGCTCAAGAACTTGAGCACCGGCATCAATCAGGATTCGTATGCGTCCATCTTGGTTGAAGTTACTCAGGTTGTTTGGAAGATGATGAGTTTGGTAGGTACCATTCTTCATAACATGCGTGTGGCGATTAGCGAGGTTCTCGAGCAGGTCCTTTTCAGTCCACCGCGCTCCATTCCCAAAGATCATGCGTATGTATGACTGATTGCGAGGCGCCAGTAAATAGTAAGGAACTTCCGCATTTGTATGCGCTAGTTGAGGAAGATCTTGCTGTTGCACTAGCAGAGGAAGCTGGTGCCTCGAATCGTTTGTACCAGAAAAGCCAGTGATACGGGCCCCCGTGGTACCCTGGAAGGACGGGAAAAGGTTCCAGCCAGATGCCTGAAGCTTGAGGCTAAAAGTCTTCGCATATTTAGGAAACACAAAGTTGTTCAAGTAGAAGTCCATGAGGGAGGCACTGAAGCGCACGACCTGGTAGAGATCGCTCAGTTGCCGCATGTCTTCGGCATTGATGGCAGCATAGTCATCCAGCTCTTTCGGGATGTCCACGCCCTTGGGGAACCACTTCTCGTACTGGATGCTGGGTTCATCCGTCTTGACTAGGTGGGCGAAGGCCTCCTTGAACTGGGATCCAGTCAGGCCTTGATAATAGAACGACAGGCACGTCAAGGTGATGGCAACATCGGGATGCCCCCACTCAGCTGTAGGAGATGGTACACCCTTAGCTAGATACGGCACCGCGATCGGTGCGCGTGTTGGATGCAAACCATATTGCACATTCCAGCGCTTGCGGAGGGTCGTGATTAAGATACGATGCACAAACATTCCGCGGAGCAAATTGACAGCCCGCATCAGAGTCGGCTTATCTCGAAAGAAGCTGGTGATCCTGGAGACTGCTTGACTGCGCACAGTTGGCTTCGAGATGTAGGCCTGTACATCTTTGACGAGAGCGGCTGGGTACTCCGCACAAGGCAGTATCGACGGAGTCTGGCCCTTGCAGATGATCCTGACCAACAGCTCGATCAAGTAATCCTCAGCGTCTTTGCGCAGGAAATAAATGAGAGGAAATCCACTACTGCCACGATTGACTACCTCAATACTGCGAGGATATCGTGACTGGACGTTTGAAGCAAAGTCCTTCACCAGGTGGAGACATGCCTGGATGACTTGCCAGCGCATCGGATGGCCGTCCACTGTCGTCTGCGTGCCGGATGGATATATGAGTTGCGTCCTGATCGCCAACGAAACATCGCATTCATCCAGAACATCGCGGGTATGCCGATCAAGCCAGCGCTGTGTGTCGATCATCATGGAGGCTGCTTCGAGGTTCTCATCACAGAGTTGTTGCAGTCCACTCAGCTTGAACGAGAGCACATGCTCTGGCAACGCAATGAGCACACCGCGACGATATTTCAAGCGTGCGTGAATCTTTCCGTACAAACTCATCAACGCTTTGGTGGGAGGGGTTTTTCGGGAAAAGGGTATATGCATGAGCTCGCGATTGACTAATCCGCCTAGTTTGGCTTGCATTACTTGCGCCGACTGGAGTAAGAGAGCCCTTGGGACCACGACGCGAGAGAGATTTGTCCGATCAGCAAGAAGTGATGCTACCATGGCTGCTACAAGTCAGTTGAGGAAGGTCTAGATGATAACACTGATACTTACGGAGAATACAAGACGTTTTTCCTTTACCCATCAAGAGCTGCAGGACTGAGTTTTCGTTCGACTGCGGTGAAATCGTCGCCAGAGCAACTTGTACCTGCTCTTCTCGGATGAGAATATCGCCATCAATCTCCAGCAGTAGCCAGTCTGCATAGTCCTTTGGATTCCAATTGCTATGACCTTCATTTGCCCATTCATCCCGCTCTTGCTGATTCTTTCCCCTCTTCTGAGCATCTTGTATCCGAAGTAGTCGTTGAAGTCTGCTTACAGCCACACCGAAAGCTACGAGTGCCTCTTTGGTGTCACTACCGAAAGTGGTGCCGGATCCGATTCGAAGCTCTGTGAGAAGCTCCACCGTTGTCAGCCTAGGCCAAGTATCTGCCATCTCAAGCCATTTTGCTTGCGGATCATGGTGATAGAGAGAATTACGGAGTCGTTCAACTACAGCTGTTGCCGAGTCTCTAACCGATATGATATTCTCTGTTGTGATCTGAGGATGGGTGCCATGAGCTGTGTGCTGCACATGCGAGATTTGCTTCTGGAGAGCATCAATGCTCGCGTCCATTTCTTTCGCATATCTGCACTGCACGAAAGAAGTCGGGTCTTTGAAATTGGCGACGATATTCCTAAGGGCTCCAATCTCTCGTGGCTGCGCGTTGGGTACTCGAGGATAAAATCCTGCCTTCTTGCCTTGAAAAGTGCTCATGGAGTTTTGTGTCTTGACAGGATGATGCGCAATGTTACCCGATCTGACAGCCAAAGCTCCGGCGTAGGAACCGACAGCGACAGAACGCACCTCCCCTGGCGCTTCAATGTTGACGATTGGAGCCTTCAACAGGTCCGAAAGCGATAGATCATCGTGCACCCTAGATCTTGTGGAATACAGGGGCAAAGGTAGCAGCTCCACGTTTGCAGTCACCTTGACGTCTGAGCCAGTCTCCGTCCGGAAGAGTACCTCCTGTACTTGCTCTAGATATCGTGCCAATTCATGATTGCGCGTAAGGCGGGTCCATTCCGGAGCTACATCAGCCAGAGCCCGTTCGATGTCGAGGCATGTCGGATCAATCGCGACCAATACTTCCGGGTCGAGGTCGGAAGTTGGCCACTGCTCCACTATTGAGCTGGCCAGTGACTTGCAGGCTTTATCGACACCGGGGCCGTGTAAGTTTTCGGCTTTCATTAGCTGTGAACGTTTCTTGAAGCTGGTCTCGGTGAACGGCATTCGTGCTTTCTCCATAAGCGATATGAGATAGGATACGGGAGGCGCTCCGTCCACTCGAAAATGAAAGTAGGCGGCATGTGTAGGGGCAGGTATGGCCCGTATATCAGGAATCATTGCGAAAGATATGAGGACACGCAGAAGGTTTAGGTCCGCATCTGAAGAGAACGCGATAGTTCCGAGAAGGAACATTAAGCCAAACCTATCGTCGACACTACACTGTAGGGACCTCTGAGCAAGCGCACCCCACTCCGCTTTGATGTCGACAGCAAGGTGGTCGGTAAGTAGACATTTACGGTAGTATTTGTCATAACCGCCCACGACCGGAGCATCGTGAAGAAGCGCGACTAGTGTGGTGTCTAGTGAGCAAGTTGACTTCCAATTAAGGAGCAACTTCGATACCTCGAGCACATTCAGGCGGTCTCGTGAAGCTTTCCGAGCATCGCGTGCGCTATAGGTAGTGTCGCAGTTACCATTTTTTTTCGTTTCGCAATCAACGGATCTTGCGACCGCTCGAGCAGCCAGATGGACTATCTCTGGGTCTCGCTTTTCCGTCTCCTGAATGTTGCGGTCGAGGTAGAACTGGGACAAGTCGGAAGAAGTTTGCAATATCTTAGCGACCGCATTGGCATAGCGATCGTCTTGCATGTGCACCGTGCATTCAGGACGCCACAGTACCGTCTCCATACATCTGGCGTCTGGCGGGTAATATCCTCGCTTCGGTGATAGTTTTGCAATGCAGTTCAACGTAGAAGTCTCGTCATGTAGCAATGGGTTCCAAGGTTGGTAGGCGCCCGTTTGGAGGAGATAGAGTGCCTCTTCTTTACCCGTCCTCCGGGTCAGTGGATCGGCAATAGCATGCGATGTGTAGGCATGTAGCAAGGCTTTCATATAAAGAAGGCGAGGTTCCGGCGCGCAGTCGATGCGTCCCAAGACATCGTTGATCGCGTATTTGAGGTATACGCCTTGGCCCATCTCAATGTCAACGAACACATGGTGACCGTCCTTCGAAACCCGAATGCCTCCCCAAGGAATCAGTATGCTCTTCTGCCGACGATTGGCAACAGATTGGACGACGATCTTGTTCATGAGGCCATACCAGGTACCCGCATCTTGGTTTTGTAGAATGACGGCACCGAGTCGCAACGAATGTAGCAAGCCTTCTTGGTTGATATGAAAGCTCAATTCCATTCGCTTCAATTCCACGGTGATTCTTCCGTTAGTTGACGCGAATACGAGGATCTGGGAGGGGAATTCAAAGTGAGTGAAGATCCGGGTAATGGTCTTGACCAATGCACTTCCCGCGTCCAACAAAGTTGTCTGCGATGGATCTTGGAACCGCCGAACAGCATGGTAGAAGCCGGACGGGTGCCAACGTATCCACCAATTCCCGTGCCTAAGCACCCAAGGAGAGTTCTGGCGAATCTCGACATGACCACTGTAGACATGTAGCCAGTGGTAGCAAGCTTCAACCAACGGTCTAGGAAGATCGGGTGTAGGGCCTTCCACACCAAAGACATGGCTAGGAATAAATTCGAGCAGCTCGCCGTTGTGGTCAGCCCGAATAATCAGGCGCTTGTTACGGTAGCCTAGATGAACTCGATGACCACGTATGGACTCTGACAAAGCGAAATCCATGCCACGTAGAGGAGATGGGTAAACAATCGGATTCTTGACGCCAAGGACGTGTCGAAAGGTCTCATCCATACGATACGACTGAGGAAGCGTTCCCATCTCTTGCCCGTCGATGAGCAGGGTGCCGTAGACATAGTCATAATGCACGAAGTAGGAGTGCTGCTCCGCCGTTGACTGCAATGTATATGATAGGTACCAAGTATCAGGAACGACCGCCAAGCCGGGCTCGGTAATGTCACATTCCCCGGGTACATGCCATACAGCGTCTAAAGCAGCTCTGAATGTGTCCGCATTTCTCATGATGACCTCTTTCATGGCCTCACGATGCTCGTAAGCGAAGAGAGTATCTTGAGCGATGGCGTTGCGCATATTGAACGGCATTGTGTCGTATCTCCCGGCCAAGTTGTATCGCAGCGAGATTGAAGCATCAATATACATGCGAAGACCCTCAGGGGCTCCTGACCAGTCGTCAATGTGCATTGTCTGCTTGCATAGGAGTGACGCCCATATAGCTGGCTGTAACACGTTTGGATCTTCCGTGACCATCGGTTGCAACTCTCGACGCCAGCCGTCGGTAATCTTGCGGGCTTCATGCAAAATTGTTCTGCCTTCGTTGCGGACTGATGTGCTTGGGCTTAGTGAGGTAACCTTGAGTAGGATGGTAATGAGGATCTCCATCTGTACGGGCTCGCGCCAGTTCCTTCGGATCGCTTCTAGTCGGTAGCAAACCTGCTGGAAGAGCTTGCTGCAAATACTGTCATCCAACAATGAGCGATGAGATTCCGTGTATTCAGATTCCGCCACACGGTCTGACCCCAGCTGCAATACTAGACGCAGGACGAGCGACCATGTGGACTCCGACGAGAAATTCAGATTGGTTGAGCCAAGTTCCCTGAGCAGGTCGAGCCACCTTGAATGAGTGCCGACCAAGAGACCTTGGAGTGCTGTGAACTCGTGGACGCCAACGCCTTGAGGACATCTAGCTTGGTTTGCCTGGATCTCGTTCGATGTCGGCCACAGGAAGTAATTCAGGTCAAGTGACATGAGTGGCGAGTTCAGAGGCAGCTTCACGGGGAAGTGATGCCAAAACGAGGCTTTTCCAGACATATCTGTCCAAGCTCCACCAAGGCAATCGAAATACCTAGGCTTGAGGCCGCAAGTTCGAATGACTTCCTCTAGTCCGATTGGGAAACCCCAATTTGCGTAGTGACACTCTAGATGAGCCTTCTTGTGCGAACCCAGAGTCACTTGACAGCTGGTTTTGTTGACGTACGGAAGAAGCTGCGTGTATTCCCGGATGAGCGACATCCGATCAAGCTTTTCGGTGGGTTCGCGACACAGAGTCGACAGTATAAGCCATGTTGCGTCTCGGTAAGCGGCGAATACCTCTGGGCATTGTAGCTCGAATAGTGCTGCTTTGGCAGCCGGCTCATAGCTTGGCAACGGGTGCTCATAGATCTGGATCCTGATCCCCTTAGCTTCTCGATTGAGGTCATGCCATTCGCACGGTAGTCGATGACGCGACTCAGGCATGCCATCCCAGGCAACGAAAGCATCCCAAACACACTCCTTTTCATTTCGGTTGTCGATGGTCTGAGCATGGCGCTGGCTCTTCTCTTCCCATTCAGTATGCTTGGCGTCGTAGGCACTGTCGGCTTTTGTCTCAATTTCTTCTCGCATGGCACACAATTCGCCCTGATGGTCTTCTCGATCGTAATACTGTGCAGCAAAGCAATCGTCTGCAGGTTCGGCGAAGATAGTCCTGGACTGCGGGCTTGATCGTGCGCGAAACCGAGCTTTTAGATACATGCGTACTTTCTGACTCCGAATCATTTCTTCGCGTGTAAGAAGCTGAATGGGATCCAACAAATCTGGATCGAACCCAGGATGATACTCCTCGAGCAGTGGGTAACAGTTCACAGCATCCTTATCCATGAGAACCCAAAGCTCCATGAGATGGAGTAGCTGCTGGCTCTTCTGGTTGGGATACGCCTGGTCTACCGCATTGATGTTGGTGACGTACTCGCGAATGACGTTACTCAACCGGAGAGCTCGAAGACCTTGTGGTTGCGTTGATTGCTTCGCAGGAAGAACGACGTTCTTGAGGAGCTTTGACGAAGCAATGTGGCTTTCCAGAGCTCGCATGTAGGGCCTGACAGAAGCGACAGATCGCTCGAACAGCTGCAGAAGCTCGGGAGCAGTCCGTTGTTGAGGTCGTTGAGAATATGCATGCTCAACTAGCACCCCTCTCAAGAATCTACCGCTGTTCGTCAAGCGAAGTTGGACTTCTTCTGGATGGGCGTGTTGACGTAGCTTTGGGATTCGACGCTCCCGCAACTTGCTGTGACTACGCCAGACTTGCTTCAAGTAGCCACCAGTCGTTGCCAGGGCGGATTCGAAACTACCACTCAAGGACAGCAGGAGATTAGAATGCCTGTTGAAGGCGGACCTTTCGGCGCCATGCACATCGGAGTTAAGCTTGGCGAGACGACGACCCAGCTTCTGACGGAGTGAGTATGCTGCATCGAGAGGGATCTTTTTCAATACATCTTCCAATAGCTGCGCATGGAGGAGACACATCAACGTCTTGTAGTGTAGACTTCCAACCTCCGCACCTAGGTGGTGATACAAGTAGCGCTGGGCTGCTACTCGGAGGACCAGATAGAAAGCGGATCTCCTCCATGGTGTCCGAGCATTATCGAAGGTAACTGTGTCGCGCACGCGCTTCCGTAGACGAGGAACTGCAACTGCAGCGCCATTGGCCTCCAGTATAGTCATCAACAAGCCAGATATGAGAGCGGGATCGCTGGTGTCTCGGATCTCGGGGATCGTGGCGGCTGCCTTCCAAGTGATAGCGGCAAACTTTGTGACCGACTCGCTGCTAGCTTGTTCGATGAAAGTGGCGACAGCTTCCTGGAAAGCTTCTTCGTTGATGGTCGATGCTGGGACAGATACCGCGCAGCCGGGGACTAGAGTAAGTTCAAGATCAGTAAATGTGCGACATCAATGTATATGTCAGTCACTTACAGTCCCATTGTAGCGCGCCTTTGGCAGCAAGCACCTTGTCGGCTGTGGCAGATGTCTCGAATGCTTCAAAAATGATGTTGCGCTCGCCGGAGGTGTCGTGGGGATACACGAGCAAAGCGCAGTTCTGAGGTGCGATGTGCAAAACAAGCATTTTCCCATGGCTGAAGTCGCGAAGCTCTTTCATCAGCGCCGCCTTGCCGATGGTTCCGTCGACATTGAGAATTTGACATGCGAGCAATGTTTTCCGCAGTCCTTGGACGTGCGGAGCAACATCTGCAGCGACATGGGGGGAAAGCCTCGCAACGGCGTCAAGCATACGCTTCAAGAGAGCCTCCTCGACGTGATGCAGGTTGCCATCTTCGCGGCCAGGCACGTTGCGGGGCAGCGCGATGTGGTAGTACTGCTGCTCAAGAAATGGCACTCGCGCGGCGGACGCCATGGCTGTTTCGAGTGCCTGCTGCAACGAGGCAGCGGGCGGGGGCAAGAACGAGTGTGGAAATTTGCAATACGACGGAAGTGCGGAATTGCGATGTTGCAAGAGTTGGCAGGTGGTGGTGTTGTCGAAAACGCGACTGCTTGATGAGGGCGCGGTACCAGGGTTGACTTAGGTGCCAAGCATTGTTTTGCTAGGCGGCAGCAACGCGTAGCCGCCCTCCCCAACGATGAGCGATGAACGATGAACAGTGAGCCTTGCCAGAAGTCGTGGAACACCAAAGCGCAGTCTCGGGCCAATCCTCTTGCCACCGGTGAACGAGTCTGCATGAGGAGACATGCCGGCTAGCGAATGGGTGACTGAGGCACAGTACGGCGCTACGAGAAACCCTCAGCCTCGCGATTTCCAAGAAAGAGATCATGATGGACATGGCGATTGAGTCCCAGGATTGATAACGTTGAGTGCCTCTATGGGGCCGGTCTTGACGCCCGCAGTTGCGTCCTACTGTCCTCGCATCAAACGAGTGAAGGATGTATGGCAAAGGTAGGAGTAACAAAGAAGAGCGAAACCGTGTTGCTTCCGAAAAGCGATAACAAAAAGAGAGAAGGAATGAGTTCAGATTGGCTGAGAGAAACGCTGCTGAAATGACAAGGATGATGGAGACGTGGCCTGCATCAAATGGAAAGAACGACCTACGTGTGTTAGTGTACTATCACTACAGCTTTTAAACCTTGGAGGCTGTCTATCACCTTGATGTGAAGGTAAAAGATGGGTTCGGTTGTTCTCAGACGTCGATACGGCAATACAAGTGTCGATGGAGCTCAAATAGATATTCCGACGCGCGTGCTGGTGAAGCGCGTGTTGTGACGCGACAAAAGTAGATAGCGGGCAGATTGGTGGCATGTTCTACTTCTCAGCGCATTAATGGTAGTTGAGCGCAAGTCTGTGGGAGCTTCGTGATGATGCATGATGAAGTTGTGGACTCTATAGCTGAGAGAAGCCTGGTGTTGAGAGGTTTGACGACGCGTGAGGTACAATCGCATTTACCCGGCCCCTTGCCTAGCTCTACAGCTAGCAACATAGCGCGTTCCCCTCCCTTGTCTGACTGTCGCATTTCCAGTGCATTTATCTCTCTGCTCCAATAGCATCTTCTACATTTTCTGCAAACCCCCAATGAAGCCGTCGAACGACAGCGGCTAGCTCCAGCCGATCTCGCTGCCTCATGGAGGGCAAACTTCATCCGTAAACGGCATATCGGCTGCAGCACCTGCCTGCCTCGGTTACTCTCTCCCCAGCTATCACCGCTATGCCTTGTGGGTTATTCCCGCTAGATTAATCATCGCCACCATGAAGGCGGGAAAGTGCGAAAGGGCGCCCGCGACTAGCCCATCTCGACCTCCAAGGCGCGACATTGGACGTTGTGGATGAGTCTCTACACGCATCACCACTAGCTGGCTCGATGCGCCTTCGTTTCAATTATTCATATACTGTGTTTATGCTAGAATAAGCAGCGGGAGCTCGTTCGTCGGTACGCATTCGCTATTGGTCGAGTCTGGGATCTCATCGGCGCCGTCATCAGCACTATGTCGCGCAGCAACTTTACCCAAGACGCCGCCGCGGGAACGGCACCAGGAACGGACGCACAGAACACTCCGCCGTCACCCAAGTCGTACACTTCAGACAAGTCCCGCGTAATCGAGGACGTCGAAATCGAAGAGGACCGCGCCTCCATATCCTCAGCGTCGACGCATTCCGACTCGATCAACTCGGTAGTAGATCAACGTCCGTCGATACATCATACATGGAGCAGGAATACAGGGCACTCGTGGCCTGGCGATAAGGAGGATGCGATCGCAACTGTCACAACGAACGCGACGCAAGACCCGCGCTTCGAAATTGACTTCGAGGATGGAGAAGACCCGGAAGACTGGCCCATGTTGAGGAAGGCTGTTGTCATCTTCTTCATGAGCTTTTCGACACTGGTCGTAGTTATGTACTCGACAAGTTATACAAGCGGCATACCGGGCATGATGGCAACATTTGGCATCCAGTCGAAGACGTTGGTGATCTTGGGGATAACAACCTACTTGTGCGGTCTGGCGATTGGATCACTGCTACTGGCACCGCTTAGTGAGATGTATGGCAGGAGACCCGTCTACCTTATCGCTGTCGCATCCTTCACCATCCTCGTCATACCATGCGCTCTGTCGAACAACCTAGCTCAGATCCTCGTCATGCGCTTCTTCGGTGCCATTGCGGGCGCGGCTATGATTTCCAACGCGCCAGGCACCGTGTCCGACATATCCAAGGAAGACTATCGCGCATTGGCTTTTTCGATATGGTCTTTAGGGCCAATGAACGGGCCTGTCTTCGGCCCTCTCGTTGGTGGCTTTGTCTTCCAAGCTCTCGGCTGGCGGTGGACGAACTGGGTTGTCATGATCGGCTCTGGTACATCCTGGTTCATGGTCTTTCTGATCCCAGAAACATACAAACCAGCAATCCTCCGCGCGAAGTCGGCCAAGAAGCGTAAAGAAACGTCCGACCCTCGATACTACTCTCGCTACGATGAGAAGAAGGCTTTCTGGCCTTTACTACGGGAGAACCTCTACCGGCCGCTTAGCATGGCGGTCAACGAACCCATTTGCATCTTCTGGGACGTATACATAGCATTGGTCTACGGAGTTTTGTATTTGTGCTTCGTCTCGTACCCCATCGTTTTCGGTGAGCTACGAGGTTGGTCGCCTGGACTCGTTGGACTGGGTTATATGGGTATTGGCATTGGCGGTGTCATCACGATAGCTTCGGAACCTCTGCTTCGTCGTATGATCAACAGCCACAAGAAAGATCCAGAGACTGGCAAGCCATACCCAGAGGCTATGGTCAGTGTGGTTGTCATTGCTGCGGTGTTGGTTCCTGTTGGCGAGATGATCTTTGCTTGGTATGTACGCATCTTCACCTGGACGTCGCATCTGCTAACACCCACATAGGACATGCACCCCCAATGTTCACTGGATTTTCCCCCTCATCGCCGGCATCCCCTTCGGCGCCGGAAACTGTGGCGTCTTCATTTACGCGTCAAACTACCTCGTCCACTCCTACGGCATCTACGCCGCGTCCGCTCTCGCTGGTAACGCCGTCCTACGATCGGCCATGGGTGGTGCTCTTCCCCTCGCAGGCCCAAAGATGTATCAAAGCCTCGGCCCACACTGGAGTGCGACAATGCTATCGCTAATTGAGTTTGCGCTCATACCCATCCCTGTAGTTTTCTACCTCTATGGACACAAGATCCGGGAAAAGAGCGCGTTGATCAGGCAGATGAGAGAGGACAGGGAGAGGGTTGATGCGAAGAAGAGGAAAGCTGCCGAGAGAATGGAGAGGGTGAAGGGTGGTGTGCTTGATGAGAAGAAGTTAGACGTCTGACAGACTTGCACGTATGAGGATCATTGATGCACCGAATTAGACTCTTGCTCACCAAGAAGCACGGCTGGTATGATACCCTATATTGTCTAACCAACCAGCTCAAGGTCGTGATCATTAAAGCAATCCTCATCTATTCCACTAACAAAACACCACGTCTTACTTCCATCGTGCTCTTCCCCTAGTATCACATATCCATCTTGCGAGTCATCACCCCAGTCACTGAGATCGCTGTCCCAGCCCTGATCATACTCGTTCAGCTTCTCTTCTTCAACTCCCTCTCGCTGCTTCTCCAAAAGAGCCTCATCCTCGCCCATCCTCTCCCTCAATTCTCCCTTAACCCACTCAACAAGACTACATCTCTGCGCATCCTCCGGCGCCGGAACCTCCCACTCCGTCCCTACCCCAAACTCCCGACAAGCACACTCCCCATCCAAAGTGCACCAACACGAACACGTACAAGACCCCTCACACACCTCCGAGCATTTATATCCGCAGCCAAGAAACCAGCACCCAGACAGATTCCTATGCCATTGCCAGGTGTACTCGCCCCACCACCAGAAGCCTGGAATCACGGGTAGAGCGGGCTCGTTGCGGCTACGACAGCGTTGTTTGAGGATTTTTGGAAGTGTGAGGATGCAAGCTAGTGTGGCATGGGCGCGGATCTCGGAGAGGGAGGTGGGGAGGGTTGTTTCGTGGGGGTTTGCGAAAGGCGCGGTGGAGATGGTGGCGCTGACGCGACCGGGTCGCCTGTCGTCGCACATGGTGTGTGGGAGGATGGCCAGCGGCGCGGGGCTCGTGGGTTCGCCGTAGGTGTGTATACGGTGTTCCTTGACGTGCCGCATCTCTGCGATGCGACGCCGGGCCCAGGTGCCAAAGTCCTCGCCTGATGTAATGTCTCCAGTGGCTGTGCCTTCGAAGATATGGGCATTCTTGCCAAAGAGTTCGTAGGCTTCTATGTCGTCCATGTACTCCATGTCTACTTCATGTGCCCATCTGTCGTAGCAGTCGTCCTCCCATTCCTGAATGTCTGCCTGTTGGGACTCGTGCCGAAGCTGGTTCTCTCGTGCGAGGCGATATCGGTCGTTGCGACGACGCTTGTTGCCGCTGTAGATGCGCTCGGGGTATCTCTTCGATCGTTGACGTACGCGACGGGCCGAGCGAAGGTCTTTGAAGGGGTGGTCTGAAGTCCGGCCAGCGGCGTTCATCGCAGATTCGGAAGGAAGGGTAAGGAAGCCGAAAGGCAGGTCCTCGTGTGTTTCTGGTAACTCGCCCATACAGGTTGTGCACCAGTTGGCGGGATAGCCAGCCCAGTGGAGCGTCTGCTACTTCATCGTGACGGGTTCGAGGCGGAGGGTCCTGGAGCGACCCCGAGACGGATAGCCTAGCTATGTAAGTTATTCAGAAGTTAGCCATTATTATAGCAGTCCCAAGTGACCATGAAAACCCCGGCTATGTCACCATAAGGCGTTCTACAATCTTCGCGGCTCAGCCCTCGCACGATGGGCGAGGGCGCATGGTTGCGCAGAAGGGCGGAAGTCGACAGGAATGTTGCCGCAGGATCCAGCGACAACATTGATCTATAATCAATGTGTGTTTGTAATCTTCCGTATTGGGCGCAGACTTGCGAAGCACTTCTCTTGTACTAGATCATAGTGATTGTCCAGATGGGTGTGTGGAGGCAAGGTGTGGTCGCAATGTTGGTGTCGGGCGCAGCTGAGTTCAGAAGGCGCGTGGTAATTTACCAGACACCCGCAATCGACGGCTTTTGTGAAGTTGCCTAATTCGGACTCAACGCAAAACAGCACACGACCACAACCTCCTCCACCTCAATCTCGGATCTACTGAGTTGATCAATGCGCTGCTAGCTTTCGCGCACAATTCCGTTCATACATGAACAATACCTTGTCGATATTGCCAATCCTGGTCGACCGGTGAAGTCTATAGAGCACTTGTCAAATATAATGTTCAAATTGAGGGTGTATCTTCCTTGACGTTGAGTACAAGTTGAATAAAGCAAGCTTTTTCCGTGAGTAGCCAGCAGAAGTTTAATACACATGGAACTCTTCGAGCTCAGATTCAGCAGACCCATGAGGCTGCAACGTCCTGGAAAACACATGATGCAATCGCTCGCGAAATCTCGTCTGATTTGACCACTGAGGAGAAAAGGCAATGCTCTTGATTTGAACGCCGTTCCTACCATCGGAGCAGGGGCGGACGATTATCGGTATCTCAACACCTGGACATCGGATAATGAGGTCACCTGGCTTGACGTTTCGTCGACACTCGCCTATGCCGGGGCGTCCGAGCGGTCCCGGATTGGACCCCTGGAACAGTATTGTTGAGTCGTCCGCTAGAGCATTGCATACGGCGATATGTGTTCTGAGTAGATCGTGGTCTTTGGCCTTCGAAGTTCCCCAACCCGAGCCATCTCGTAGAAGGGAGAAAAGCGCCGAGACCTCCTTGCGTCTGTGTCTGCATATGAAGCGTTCCCAACAGTCGAATTGAGCGAAAGTGCCGATATGTCCGTAGAATGGCAGATTCATGTTCGTTGTCTCCAGGATCTGAAGCAGTCGCCCCAGGTTATGGATGTGTTTACGATATTCGGCTTGCTGGTATGTCGACTGAGTCTTGTAGAAGTCGAAGGTTGCAACCACTACGCCTTGTCGACGACCATGGATTGATATCGCATGATCCCCCACCATGAAAATACGTATGTTTCCTAGATTTTGGCGATCCTTGTTGTCTGCAACTCCACCAGGCGTGGCAAGAACCCGTGTCCGGTCAATAGCATCAAGATCGCAATGTTTGCTTGTGGCGAATGGACACGAGCTCTTGTCACCGCTGGTTACGTGATTAGAGCGAATGAGTCGTTCGATATCCCCCCATTTGTTTTCTCGGTGTTCATTGGGCGTCCAATCAGGCACCCAAGACGGCTGCCCCTTCATATTGTTCATTGCAGCGATCAAGACTAGATGTGGTGACCCTGTTATCTGCACAAGAAGCCGAGAGAACGAAAAGTAGATCGCTTCCTTGGATTCTCCATAATCTACCTGGGGAAGAGGGTGCCGGGTGCGACGTTGCAAGATAGCCCAAAGGCCAAAAGCCATGTCTTTGGATGCTGTAGCATCTCGAGTGTAAACACCGTCAATGAGATCGTTCACATTGGTTCGGCGTTCTCCATTGCGGTACAAAACGCGCGGGGATGACAATAAGACCAGACGTACCATCATTACGAGAATGATGAAGACGGCTGTTAATGAAACGGCCAGAATGACTTTGCGCTCGTGAGGATCGGACCCAAGGAAGGCGGACCAGAGCAGGAAAACGAGTAATAAACCAAGGAAGCAGAAAGTCGTTCGATCGGTTAGGCGGTGAAGTCGGCACATGCGTCTCGAGAATTCTGCATAGACTTCCAAAGAGGAGTCGCCCGCAGGACCTGAAGTTGTGCACTCCGGATTCATGTCTTGCCTACTCATAGCAACTCTCTTCCAAGGGCACATATACGACCCGAGACGAGGGCTCGCAGTAGCCAAAAAGACCAGACTGATTGCGAATCTGTCCCAGCAGATATGAGTACTGCCGCAAACTATGATCGGGTTGGAAGCGAGAAGGATTTCTTGGTAGGTCCAGAGTCTGCTAATCCAAGTCCGCTGTAGCAGATCCAGAAGGTCCTCTTCGGTTGCGTATTTTGATTCTCTGTTGAACAATCGCAGGATGTGAGGACTCAGCGGGCCTCGCCATGTTCCGACTGAATCTTCACAAGTCAGCGTAGATACGAGTTCGATGTTACAACACTCACCATGAAACACGAAAGGGTGCCATGTCAAGCTCCAACGTGCTATAGTAGCAGAACAGGCTGCGAGAATTGGGCGCCCATAATCAGCTTTAGGGGTTTTGGTATCACCGCCCTCCGCCTGGAAGTAGTCCAAGAAGCCAGCGGTCTTCATATATTTGAGTGCGCGATCACTTTTCTCGTTGCCTTCGCCGAGCCACACGTACACCGTTGCTGCTCGCGAATATATGTCTCCCATCAGCGGAATCTGGTGTTCCTTTTCCTTCCTGTTCTTCTGGTCGATGCAGATCGCATCGATCCATATTGTGAAAGCTTCAAGTCGCGTGCGTAGGTGCTGTAACGCTGAATAGCCATTGACAGAAACGACGATATCCACGCCGTTGCATGTAATGGTTCGGGTATCCTTCGGTGAGCCCCAAACGTAGGAGATGGCGGTAAAGTCGAGAGAGGTCTCTAGATCCACGATACGGAGACGGCCGACTACAGCGGCTTTTTCAGTCGATGCTCCATCGACATCGAGAACGCGTATGCACTTTGAGGTTGGAGGTATAGGTAAAGAATGGTATGGCTCTGCGGCGGAGTCATCGGCCATGACAATTGATGACTACCTAGGTATTAACAAAAGCGCAACAAGCCTCGGGTTCCGCGAAAAGAATGTACGCAGCTGGAACATGCCTATGAACATTGTAGCCCAAACACATGCAGGGGAAGCCAAGAAACGTGGCTTGAACAGAACCGTATCGTCTGCACGGAGGGCTGTGTTGTTGGCTATTCCACTTTGGCCCCGGTTCACGATCCTACTGGGGTGGAGGTTGGGGCCGGGCGGCATGATTGTTTGGCTTTCGCAGATGCTGTCTCTCGAAGTAAGAGACCCCGCGATACCGTGGGTAGATTTGAGTAGGTACACATGGCCCCCAAGTCCATGGACGATTCCAGGGGCGTTGATGCAGGAAATGAAGACGGGGCTTGACCTTAGCTAGGTGCGCATATCCGAAGCGCTACCAGCCTACCAGCCACCCGCAGCCGCAGCCGCTCCATTCACCACCCGTGCAGCCTCGCCATACCGACAGCAAGGGATGACCGCGAGGAAACAGCCGTCGTGATATATTCCGAGTGTCGTGCCTGGCTCGGGCGGCTCATGCGACGTTCGTATCGATGCATCGTGTGTCCTGCGCAGTGCAGCGACATCTGCCGAAGAATGATCGACGCGGCTTCGCGATGACGTAATGTTCGCCTTGCACTGATTGATGATGGCAACACGCCCGTGAAGTGCGTTGCCGCGAGCGATATAACTCTTCTCGATCTCTAGAACAACAAGGAGGGGTGAAATTTTCGAGATCGTAATTCATCGCCATGTCCTCAAACACCTCGTCCACAGTCCCCCTCTGGATCGACAACAAGCCCATCCACACGCAAACCACCATCCCCGTGACCCAAGCCAGCACCTCCAAAACCATCCACCACGCCTCCTCCGCCTCCACCACCGAAGCAACCCAAGCGGCCGCATCCTCCTTCTCCGCCTTCAAATCTTGGCGTTCCACATCCCACACAACCCGTCGCAACCTCCTCCAAAGCGTAGCCACCTACTATGCCGACAATGCCTCTACGCTCATCGCCGCGCAAATCGCGGAAACCTCTTGCACAGAAGCCTGGGCGCGTACAAACGTAAACCTCTCCATTTCGTACCTCAACGAAATCGCCGCGCAGATAAGCAGCGTAACAGGCGTTATTCCCCCAACCGAGAAACCAAACACACAGGGTTTCGTGTTCAAAGAACCGATCGGACCAGTGTTGTGCATCGCGCCCTGGAATGCCGCACTCGTGTTGGCAACGAGGGGGATAGCAAGTGCAATCGCCGTAGGCTGCACCGTAGTTTTCAAAGCGAGTGAACTCTGCCCCCAAACCCACGGACTCATCACGCAAGCTTTCGCCGAGAGCGGGTGTCCAGATGGGGTATTGAACCAGGTGCAATGTCGACGGGAAGATGCGGCTGAGGTGACCGAGACGTTGATAGCACATGACGCGATTCGCAAGATTGAATTCATCGGCAGCGCGGAGGTGGGGAAGCGCATCATGGGGATCGCGGCGAAGTATCTCAAGCCGGTCTTGATGGAATTAGGCGGGAAGTGTCCGGCGATTGTGCTTGAAGATGCGGATTTGGAAGAGGCGGCGAAGCAGTGCGGGATGGGTGCTGTGCTGCATCATGGGCAGATTTGCTTTAGTACTGAGAGGATTATTGTGATGGAGGGGGTGGCGGATAGGTTTAAGACGTTGCTGGTGGAGGCTATGAAAGGAATGGAGGGGCCGGCTGGATCCGCGGTGTCGGAGGGTATTGCAAAGCATGCTGAGGACGTTATAAGGGATGCGCAGGAGAAGGGCGATGAGGTGCTTGTTGGTGGTGTTGAAGCTGCTTCGTCTGGGAGTGGGCTTGCGCTTAAACCTACGATCGTTGTCAATCCCTCGCCTTCATCTCGCATCCTCGACGAAGAGACGTTCGGCCCTTCCGCTTCGCTTTACGTCGTCTCTTCAGATGAAGAAGCTATCGCGTTGGCGAATCGCTCAGCCTATGGTCTCAACGCCACAGTTTGGACGCGCGATATGGCTCGGTTTATGAAGATGTCGCGAGAATTGGAATATGGTCAAGTTCATGCCAATAGCATCTCAGTCTATACGTCGCCGACTGGAAGCCAAGGTGGCGTTAAAGGCAGCGGGTTTGGGCGGCAGAACGGTCAGTGGGGACTAGACGAATTTGTCGTCGAGAAGTTTGTCACTTGGTGTGGGTGAAGTGGAAGGTCTTGACATTGCTCAAGAAGAGGCAACACATTCAGGAACACGGCAAGGTAAATTTAGTGTTTTATTGTTTCGGGTGATGACCACGTCGTACTATCATGTACGGAAAAGTCCAATACACCCCAAGTATTAGTACCAATAGGCAGATTATGATTTCCTTCCATCCTTCATTCTCAACCCAGAACATCGACAAACGCCAGTGGCCCTTACCAGGTAAAAGTCATCAACTGTGGGTTGAGTACAATTGGCAACAAAAAGTGGAAGACAACCACGGTGCCCATAGGCCAAACGGCAATGAGCTCCTTGATCCTCCAGTCCTCTTGCAGAGCAAAAGCCATGGTAATCATAACCGCAGTCATACCAATGCAGAACATGAAGCTCCACTTGAACTTCCTCAGCACCCTGCTGATGGCGACGAAGAAACTGACTTGCTCGGTTTCCTTGGAAGTGGAACCCCACTCAAGAGGCCAGCTGACGAAGTGTGCGAGGAGAGCTTGCGAGACGTGCAGAGAGATGCCGCCGAGGAAGATACTGAGGAGAGGGATCCATTTGATGTTTGTCCAGAGGCCGCCGAAAAAGGAACCCTCGCCGATGCGGTAGCGGAGGACGGCGAGAGCAATGTTACCGAGGACACTGAAGACGATGATGATGGCGAAGTAGACTGATGAGTGTTAGTGATGCGCGAGACGAACAACGACGTGATGCTTACCGCGGAAGGAGTTGATGTAGTAATGATCTAGCCATCCGTTGAAGAAACCGATCAAGAAGTAGTTGAGCACGGTAAGGGCCCACGAGCAGCCGAGAGCGTAGTAGGTACCGATGTAGGCCATGATGGTGACTTTAGAGGCGAGAGGCATGTTGGAACTAGTATTATTGAGTCAGTTGACGGACAGACAAGACGACACGGTCTCTGTAGATCTACTCACAAGATAAAGTTGCGGAAGAGCTTGGTGAAAGGACCGCGGGTGAACCAGTAGATCAAGGGGTTGAAGATGAGTTCGTTGCAGCCGTATGCATACCTAGAGAATGTGAGTTAGCAGTTGTAAAAGATGGACGTTGAAAAGGGCAAGCATACTTCTCCCAACGGGCAAGCTCATCGTATACGGTAAGCGATACACCCTCTTTGAAGCCGTCACCCTGGTATGAGGCCAATCGAATGATGTAGCCAGCACTCTGCAGCCGTAGACTCATATCGAAATCCTCAGACACCGTCTCCTCGGACCAAAACTTCTCGAACGTCTGTTCACGTTCTGTGACTTGGTAAGCCACCTTCTGAAGTGCCTCCCATCTTAGGATCGCGTTGTGGCCGACAAAAGGGGCGACGTCGCCACCAGCGACAGCAAATCGGATCATGGTGTAGATCATGTTGGTGAAGAAAGTGATGCCGTTTTCGAAGAAGCTGTTGGTGACGTTCATGACTCCGGAAGAGTACTGTAGGATGGCCACTTCCTGACCCTGGTGCATTTCGCTGACGGCCTCGAGCAGGCAGTCTTTAGGCACACGGGTGTCGGAATCGACAAGGAGAATGTGGTCGCCAATGCGGATGTTACCATCAGCCCAAGCCTCGCCCTGGTGCTCAGCCATGACGGATATCATGGCTTCGTGGTAGAGGTCGTCCTCTTCAACCTGGCTCCAGGTCTCTCCACGTTCATGTTGTGCCATGACCTCTTCAACTCTGCAACTGATTCTTAGAGCGTAGTTCATGTTGGATGCCTTCTTGAATTTTCCGGGGCGAATAAACGGCTTCACTTCGTACTCGCTCAGCCTTGGGCGCTCGCCCTTGGGATCGTGGATTGGGCGCGCTACCCAGCCAATACCATGCTCGTCGTAGTACAACTGGCGCTCCAGGGCTTCCTCGGCTCCGAGAACTTGCACTAGGAAATGTCAGTGTGGCTTACATTACGCACTGGCGCAGCACTTACTTCCATCGTCGTTGACGAAGATATTGGCACTTCCTCCCTGAAGCTCGTAGGTAGAGATGGCTTCCTTGAGCGACCGAATGGTGGGCTCAATGACAGTGCGTAAACCCTCCTTGTAAACGGGCATCTGGATGGTTACATGTGGGAGCGGGCCGCCAAAGTGATCACGGTTGAGGCGCCTGGGGGCTTTGCCGGAGTAGTAACGGCTGTTTTCTTTCATCTGATCGGTAGGGCCAATGATTTGGGCGAAGTTACCAACCAGAGCTTGGAAGAAGAACTAGTAAAGTCAGAAGCGAAATCACAGAGTGCAGACATATAGCTTACCAATGATAGCCAGACTTGCGCGGGCAAGCAAATGAGGAAGAGCAGACGAAGCCAGTGCTTTGGGGCTTGGAACTCTTCGATCGCGATCTGCCTATACCCCGACCCGATAGCTACCGTTAGGAGAAGAATGGACATTCCGCAGTAGGCAGCTTGCCACATCTTCATGTCTCGGGCCTCCTCCTTATTGGCTTCTCGAGAATCACGCGAGTCGTCGTAATCTTCCATATCGTGTGCGGGGTTCTTGCCTGACTTCTCCAACTCCAGATCCTGCGCGTCATAGCCGTATTCAGCTCCACACGTCGTCCTCATCATACAATTGATGATGAACTCGGCGCGTTCGAGCGTCAACTTCGGATCATCCTGCCACACTACTAGCATGCCTCGTGAGGCGATGAAAGCAGCGGACTGACCCCTCTGGCAGTGTGGCAAAGCTTCAAAATCGGGAACGACTTGCAAGCGAAGGCCGCTCTGGATTTGCACATACTGCTCCGAAGTTCGCTCAAGAAGGTACTCGATGACCCTGGTCTTGATGGTCATGGCGCACTGCAAAGTATTAGTGACAAGGCCGTACGGGTGTTTGGCGATTGTTAAACTTACTCGGACGTTCAACTCGGTAACAGCTTCAATGAGACCCGTGCCGTCGGTACGGAGCGCTTCGGGGGCGCAGGAATAGATTCCCTTGGACTTCTTCATGAAGACACCTTCACCAGGTGATCCAAAGGTCCATACCCGCTCCTCCTGCTTGGTGTGAAGCCAGTTGGCCAGCATCTCGGCCTTGACATCGCGAACAGCATCTGTGCGCACGGTACTGTTGCTGCTGTCGATACTGCCGTGGACGCTGCCAGACGCACCGGAACGAGCGCTACTTGGGCCAAGCTGCATAGGTGTGAAGCTAGCCGGTGACTCGTCGCCAGCTCGGGGTGTTGGCGCCAGAGGATTTTGGGGGGGTAGTTCCTCGCTCCCAGGAGCGTCGTTATGCGGTCGAGAGACAGCGTCCCCTTTTCTGAAAATGTTGGTTAACCTCATTTCTGCGTCTTCTCATATGATGCCAGGGGGAGAACGTTTGTGCGATGTGTGTTTGAACGACGAAGAACAAAGGTGCACACGGATGTTAGGTAACGACTGAGAAGAGGGTAACACCAAGCGGGCAGCGAGGAGATGAGATACCCAGCCCGATATCCAAGAAATGCACACTTTTTCGAGGAATTGTACGTGCGGTGGGTGGAGTACCCACACTGCTATAAGCGATTACCAGCAGCCACAACTGCACGAGTTCAGTATGCAAACAGTGTAGTGTGGCGATAGGCAATTGGTACTGGCGCGCCTAACCTGTATTGAAGTTGTCCTGGGTGAGCCATGCAGGATAAGGTGGACTCGGAGCTTCATGGTGCCACGGAACCCCAGATAAACGTAGACTCGTTGGGTCGTGGTGGGAATCGCGTCTGTGCTCTGTTACATGAGCGCTACCGAATGCTCTTTCTTCCCTCCACAACCAGTAGATACAACACTCGGACATGTAACGAGGTTGCTTATGGAGATAAGGTGCGCCATCATCAGTGACATTGGAACCGTACCGACTTGAGAGTATTTGTAGCTTTGGGGTCTTTCTAGCCAATGGCTCGGCAGTGTGTACAAGTGCCAGATACCCCTAAGCGCCGTGAACATGTCAAAACTGCCTGGTAGATCGTTTAAGAAAGACGCGACAGCGTTTTTGTGTGTGTGAGATGACGCGATGCCGAACATAGCTTGTGGGTAACGATACGCGAACGAGAGGTTCGCGCATCCAAAAGAAAATTCCGATCTTCTTACGTGAAGTATGGTCTTTGGGGGGCCAGGCATCCTTTGTCTTGCCACTGAGGTGGGGCGCCTATAGTTTAACAGCGGGCGTATCTTGCGCGCTTTCGGCCACGCGCATCGAGAAAATTGTAAAGCCTGTCATCGCTACGCAACAATAGCGTCTTATTACCAAGATTACCGCAGACCTAGACGATTAGACAAAGTAAGGTTGGCAAGATCAACGGTTCTTTAGCGAGGACCCACGCTTGACGAATCCGCGTCGCTGCGTTCGCATTGCCGACGATGTCGCACCACCGATACAAGCATGGACCGAAAGAGAACGAAAAGAGATTGTGTACGAGCCTGTAAAGCCACAGCAACCACAAGATCACCGCCCCGCCGCAAAGATTGCGGCCGGTCCAGCAGCGCCAGAAGAGCTCTCCAGGGCTGCCCAGGTGGGCTTTGACCCAAACACGTGACCGTTATCGGATACCCGTGGACGTATACTGCTGGAGAAATTGGAACACAGTTACACGATTTTCATTGGTGTGTGAACTCCGTCGCGTAGAAGACTTTGGAAAATGCCGCAAATTTAGTCATCGAATCCTGGAATATGGTGCGACCCACGTACTCCATGCGCCTGGACGAAAAGTCGACAAGATGGAAATTTGGAAAGCAAATGGGATGTTTAGGATCTCAAACACGGCGGATTTTAGTCGGCAAGTCTAGAGAATTAGTATATCGCTTCCACAAGCAGTCCATGAAGTCACTCACCTGTAGCTCACTAGAGTGTCCACACGATGGTTGCTTGTGCTGAAGCTGCGCAGCTGCACCTTCTCCCCATTCTTGATCTCCTTGGCGTCACTGTCACCCCACTCGAGAGGCACTTCAGAGTCGGCGTCGGCATAGACAAGAACGTTGAAGGTGCAGTTTCCGTCCAGCATGGGTAAGAAAGTCACGGAGGCAGTGATCTGCCTGAAGACAGACTGAATCTCGGCCTGGATTTCAGCTTCGGTCTTGTCTTCTGATGCCTCGCTGGCACTGGGAGTTGTCAGCATGTGTTCAAAATGGCTGGCCTTTCTCGCTCACTCTGGGACGGAATTCTCTTGGTCTGCCGTCTTCTTGGAAGATTTCGCCTTGGCGCTCTTTCCGTAGATTTGGACCTGGTTGATGTCAGATACTGGGGTTTGGTATAGTTTATGTGACTTACGTCGAATTGCCAGCGTTCAACATGCTCTCCAGTCTCTTTGCTCGTGATGACGACGACAAGCTTTGAGATCTTGCCCCCGTACATCCACTCCTTCAGCTGGCCCATGATCTTCTTGATGTAGGCCTTGACCTGGTCATCGGCGGTTACTAGAAAGGTTAGGATGCAGCTGATGGTAGCGCTAGCAGGCTACGTACCCATCATAGTCAGCCCATATTTCTTCACGCTGCATCTCGTTAACGACTGATTGGTGTAACGATGTAGAACAAGCTTACGCGGTGAAGTCCTCGGCTGGGTACACGCCTCTTTGGAACCTGGGCAGAGTCAGTCACCGAGATAGTGGGCTACAAGTAGCTCTTTCTACTCACAGGATGGTGTTCACAGAATACTCAAACTAATCGGGTAAGCGTGGGATGCGATGCTTGGCCTGGCCGACTTACAAACTCATTGACGACTTTGGAAGAGCCCTTGAGCGCAAGCTTGTGCACCTTGGAGGAATCGCTCTTTGAAGACTTGGATTCGCCTTTTGAAGATTTGGACTTGGAAGAGGTCTTGGGCTGAGACATTGCGGTAATAGCGCTTGGTGAAGGTTGGCGGTGTGTTGTTTACGGGGTTTGTTGATAAGGTAACTGCGACCAGCGTGACTTGGCGGAACAGGAAGCAACGAGACAGTACAACGAGACAGTTCAAAGAGGGCGCAATCGACGACCGAGTGTCTCCGAAGATCAGAGTTAGGCCTAGTATGCTTGCGGGGTATTGGAGTTGGCGGATGGGAGAGGTCTGGTAGTGGGTCTGGGTGCAGATGCAGGAACCGCCCGTCGCCGATAAGATAAGATCGATCAAAAAAGTCGTCGACACCACCGCCCGAGCGACGAGCAGGCAGGCACGGATCCGACCTCATGCCCACTCATGCGATCATGCGTGCGAACTGCGAGCAGCCTCCTGCACGGCTGGCGGACGCCCTCGGCCCGCTGCAATGGCTTCCCGCGCACCTCACGCCTGCTTGAGCGCCTGCCGCCCCTCGCCAGAAGCTATGCGCAGGCCTTCCGCCCCCAGTCTGAGCTCGAGAAGCGCATCGCCGACATCCCCATCGACCGATACCGCAATTTCTGCATCGTCGCCCACGTCGACCATGGCAAGTCGACCCTCTCGGACCGCCTGCTGGAGATCACGGGCACCATCCAGCCCGGCGGCCAGAAGCAGTTCCTCGACAAGCTCGACGTGGAGAGGGAGCGCGGTATCACCGTCAAGGCACAGACATGCAGCATGATATACAACCACGAGGGACAGGACTACCTGCTGCATCTGGTGGACACGCCCGGCCACGTCGACTTCAGGGCCGAGGTGTCGCGGAGTTATGCCAGCTGTGGAGGGGCCCTGCTGCTCGTGGACGCCAGCCAGGGCGTGCAGGCGCAGACAGTCGCCAACTTCTACCTCGCCTTCGCCCAGGGTCTCACGCTGGTACCCGTGCTGAACAAGGTCGACCTCCCCCACGCCGACTCGCCGCGGGTGCTTGAGCAGATGCACGAGACCTTCGAGCTCGACCCCAAAGACGCCGTACTCGTCTCAGCCAAGACCGGCCTCAACGTCGCTGCCCTCCTTCCTACCGTCGTCGACAAGATACCCGCCCCAGTCGGCGATCTGAAGAAGCCTCTCCGCATGCTCCTCGTCGATTCGTGGTACGATGTATACAAGGGCGTCATCCTGCTGGTGCGCATATTCGATGGGCAGGTGCGGCCTGGGGACACCATACGCTCCTTCGCGACTAAGCTGAAGTACATCGTGGGCGAGGTCGGCATCATGTACCCCGATCAGACGCCGCAGACGGTGCTCAAGGCTGGCCAGGTGGGCTACATCTACTTCAACCCTGGCATGAAGCGCTCGCAAGAGGCCAAGGTTGGCGACACCTACACCACCATCGGATCTGAGAAGCTTGTAGAGCCCTATCCAGGCTTCGAGGAGCCCAAAAGCATGGTCTTCGTCTCCGCCTTCCCCACAGACCAGGACCTCCACGAGCATCTCGAAGACAGCATCCAGCAAATCATCCTCAACGACCGCAGCGTTACATTGCAGAAGGAGTCGTCCGATGCTTTGGGGGCTGGCTGGCGCTTAGGCTTCTTGGGCACACTGCATTGCTCCGTCTTCGAGGACCGCTTGCGTCAGGAACACGGTGCCAACATCATCATTACACCGCCCTCAGTACCCTTCAAAGTCATTTGGAAAGACGGCACCGAGTCCATCATCACCAACCCCAATGAGTTCCCAGATCAGGACCAAGCGCACTTCAGAGTGCAGGAAGTCCATGAGCCATACGTATCTGCGACCATTACAATGCCGGACGAATACCTTGGTGAGGTCATCAAGCTTTGCGAGGCCAATCGCGGCGAGCAGAAAGAGCTTACTTTCTTTACTGCCACCCAAGTCATCCTGAAGTATGACATTCCCCTGTCGCATCTTGTAGACGACTTCTTCGGCAAACTCAAAGGCTCCACCAAAGGTTACGCCTCTCTTGACTACGAAGATGCAGGCTTCCGCAGGTCCTCCATCATCAAGCTCAACCTACTTGTCAACGGCTCCCCAGTCGATGCCGTGTCACGCGTCCTGCACACATCGCAAGTTGATAGGGTGGGCCGCATATGGGTCGAAAAGTTCAAGGAGCATGTCGAGCGACAAATGTTTGAGGTCATCATACAGGCTGCAGCCGGCAGGAGAATCGTGGCGCGAGCTACCATCAAGCCGTACCGCAAGGATGTCCTCGCCAAGCTCCATGCTAGTGATCTCAGCAGACGGCGCAAGCTCCTTGAGAAGCAGAAAGAAGGCAGGAAGAAGCTGCGGTCGGTAGGAAGTGTCGTTATCGAGCAGGAAGCGTTCCAGAAGTTCTTGGCCAAATAGAAAAATCAATAATCTTATCCGCTCTTCGTTGCGTACCCCAGCGCTAAACCACCGGTAACACATGGCAGAACTCGCCGTTGGCCAAGCCCGTCCGCTCGTTCGTTAGGACGGCATGTCCGATTATTCTCAACCATGTGCATAAGTCGCGATAGTACAGTACCAGGCATGCATCGCCATTCAGCGCTTTGACATTCCGTCTGCAACAGGCCCCGATTCTCCCTCCCGTTCCCCTATCAGCCTGGGAAGCGTTGATTCGCTGGTCACCCCATCCGATACCACCCAACAATAGCAACAATGCAACGGTTCATCGCGCTCAGCCGTTTCGGCTAGTAACGAGTCATCTCGATTCCGAACAACTGGTGGTCTGCGAAGTCCGTGCAGTGTCTCAACGTGCTCGATCTTTCAGCTGATCGGCGCTAACAGGTCAATGACATCAGCCAGTCATCGAGATCGTGCGTGTCGGCCTTTTCTAAGAACCACTCGGCTTGCGTTACAGCTCGCGTACCTGACAGCAACGATCTCTAGTGCGGCTTGGATCTGTGGCTAAGCCATCTCCAGCTTGGTGTCGCGATACTCGACCGTGGGCTGCATAATGCTTCGGACGGTACGCTTGGGGAAGTGCGCCGACATGACGTTTGCCAGAGGGCCAACTTTTCTACGCGTCGAAACCGAAAGACACATTGGCAAGGCGTCAACAGCCTTTATTCAAGTATAATCAAACCTACGAAGCGAACCTTCTCAGATTCAGCTGATACTGGGATATTTACACTTCGAGTGACAGGTCGTGGGCTGTATCTTGATGTCTAGCGGCATGTAGCGCATCTCGACAACGCTCGCTAATCTCTGCAGAGCCTAGCCGACCATGTTGACATCAAGGATGCCATGAACGTCCGAACGGCACGCTTGCGACGATCCTGCGGGCATGACGTTAGGCTGATGGCCAGACCAGGACGCCTGGACGGGCGGGCAACATGGGCAAATCTCAAATCTAAGAGACGTGCCGCTGCGGGCTGCAATACCTGCGTTGGTATGAGCTTGGGTTGTTCCTCGCACTCGACAGCCCGCAGGACGGTCTTTTCAACCTTCTGCTTCCCTGCGTGACTTGTCGAGGCTTCATCAAGATGGCGAGATTCTTGGGCCTCAGAGGTCGCAGTCTAGCGAGCGCCATCAGCATCACGTGTGGGCTTTGCTTTTTGTGAGTTACCCCATCCGTGTGTGTCGCGTAGATTATTCAAGGACTAATCGGTCAAAGATGTTTCGGCTATGCCCAGGGTGTTATGGGCGGTCTCTTGACTGTCCAGCAGTTCTTGGACAAATTCCCTCAGGTTGACATTGTCAACCAGAGTTCGTTCCACAATGCGTGGGTCACAGGTACGCCAAACCGATATTCATGCACGCATCAATGCCTGAGCGTGGTACTGGAACATGCAGGGTCCTGACTGACATCAATAGGTCTTACGGTCGGAACATGGCATCTTGGCTGTATCGTCTCAGCCATCGCGACAATCTTCGTTGGTGACCTGCTTGGACGTCGGCGCACACTCATCCTCGGTCTTACCTTTTGGGTGATTGGCGAAATCATTCAGACGTCTTCCTACAGCTTTCCGCAGTTCATTGTCGGTCGCGCGATCGCTGGTTTCGGTAAGCTCTCTTTCTCTTTGTAGGATACACCTTCGAACACGAAGACTGACTTTGCAACATAGGCAATGGCTTCACGACCTCCACAGCCCCCGCATACCAGGCAGAATGCGTCAAGTCGCATCGCAAAGGAACCATTCTGATGATCAGCGCAGGAGCGTTTGTCTCCGCTGGTATCGCGCTCTCGTACTGGTTCGTCTTCGGCTTCGCATACCTCACCAGTTCCTCGGCATCATGGCGCGTCCCTATCGCTCTACAGATCATGTTCGCGCTCCCCGCCATCGCAATGCTCTTCGTACTTCCCGAATCGCCGCGATGGCTCATCCTTACTGGACGCGAACAAGAGGCGCTCACTGTGCTCGCGGCGCTGAACGATGATGAGCCTGACAGCTTCGAGACGAAAGACGAGTTCTTACAAATCAAGGACGCCATCTTGATCATGGCACAGGGATCGAGCGCAGGCCTATTCTCCAACAGGGAGCGCAGAGGTTTCCACCGTGTTGTGTTGGCATACTTCGTGCAAGTCTTCCAACAGGGCACTGGTATCAACCTGGTCTTGCAGTATCTCTCGTGGATCTTCTTGACACGCATGTCCTTCGAAGGATGGCTAGCCCGTCTCCTGGCATCCTGCTCAGCGACGGTCTACTTCCTTGCCTCGTTCATCGTTGTTGTCGGTATTGATCGCTTCTGGGGCCGCCGCTCGCTCATGATGTTCGGTGCTTCGGGCATGTCAGTATGCATGGTTCTCATTACCATATTGCAGTATCTGTGGTCTGAGCGCAACATACAGGCTGGAAGGATCGCCAGCACTGTGTTCTTGTTCATCTTCTCTGTCTTCTTCGCTATCGGATGGCAGGGTATGGCTTGGTTGTATCAGGTCGAAATTGTGCCACTTCGGATTCGTGGGCCTGCTAACGGTCTTTCGACAAGTGCCAACTGGTTGCTCAACTTTGTGTAAGTCACAATCCGGGTCCATCGCATTAGCTGCGCGACTAACATTGAAACAGTATCGTCTTCATCACCCCGATCGCATTCCAGCGCATTTCCTATCGTACATGGATCATCTTCGCCGTCACAAACTTCGCCATCATCCCCTTGGTCTACTTCTTCTACCCTGAAACCGCCTTCCGCTCGCTTGAGGAGGTCGATGTCATCTTCCAGCTTGCACACGATGCGCCCGGTAACCCCTGGCTCACCGCTGTTGGCTTTTCCCAAAGCGAGCCCCTCTGGTTCGGAAAGAAGGATCCCGAGAAACGGCTCAACTTCAACTATGGAAACAGCTCGTGGCACAAGAGACTCGTCGAAAGCGTCCTCAGTCGTGACAGTGGCAGTGGAAGCAACACGAACAGCGGCAACACCGAGAAGCGACCCTGGAGTAACGGCGAAAGCCCAGACTCTGGCGAGACAGCCGCGCCTACCATCCCTCGTGGGCGAAAGAGATCAGAAGAGTCGCCCGTAGACCCTCGCCTGCACCTTTCCCCACCATTAAGCCCAGCGACAACCATGACGACAACTATCACCAGCACTAATCGCCCACGACGCAAGCTCCAGAAGCGCAATAGCAGCACCAGCAGCATGGCGAGTCACGCGAGCCGCTCCCAACCACCACCACCCGTCTTCGGTCTCTACAACCGTTCTGCGGAAACGCATCAACCAACCATGCCACACCACCGCCACACACGCAGCACCTCAACAGACTCCCTCCACTCCGTACGCCCAGAATGGTGGACAGAAGATCTTGCACCCGCACCCGTACCCACACGCAGCAGATCATCAAGCAGACCAGGTAGCGCAATAGAGGCAATGGAGACCCGCGGCCGCCCAGCATCTCGCATGTCCACAAGAAGTATATCAAACAACGCGCTCAACCGCTTCCTGAACGCCGATCTACTCGCTCAACAACAACAGCAGCAGCAACGGCAACAACCTCGAAGAGCGGCATCTCATTCGTCGCTTCATGAACAATTTGCCGACCATGGCTTTGAACCCATTGTTGGTAGGGATAGCGTCGACTACCCCGGAATGCTTGGCGGTGAAGAGCGCGGCAGAGGAAGAAGCGGTGTTGTGAGGACGGAGAGCGATAGGGAGACGTATCTCCCTGATGGTGTGTATGAGGTTGTTGAGGGTAGAGTGAGGCAGCTTAGTGCTGGGCCTGTCAGACCGGATAGCGTGGGAAGTTCGAGGAGGTACTCGGCTAGGGACGCTGGGTACGCGAGATAAGAGATGATCTGCCAACCTGCTACAATTCTCTCGGTTTGTCTCGTGGCGCGAGTCCACGACTAATTTCTTTTGTAAACTTCGGCTAGTAGTTGTTGAAACACGCCTTGTAATACATACATACAACTTTATCGTGTAATCATAAATGGAAACATGTAATATGCACTATCACTTGCAGAGTGTACTATACTGGTGGAAAGGTGTGAATTTCATTTACTTCGTTATGTTTGTGTACTCGTGACTTCTTCATCAACAGGAGGTTTTTGACCTTGATTTGAGATAACAATACTTTGAAGAGGGTTGAACGAGTGTGGTGAAAAGTCAGTTGGGGGAAAGGGTAAGTATGCTAGGATACCTGATGTTTGCACAAATTCTTCATCATCGGTGCCGAAATCATGAGCGCGCGGGTTTTGCGACTGAGCGGTTTCTACGGAAGGATGGTGCTCGTGTGGTTCAAGGCCAGCCATGCTTACACAGACTGGACTTTCATTCGAAGCGCATTCCGATAGCGTAGGCACTGGTCGCAGTTCTTCTGTACGAAGCCTTGAGCATTGCACGTCGTGCAGTCGGGTCCGCGATGACTATCCTCGAGTCAGCAATCTCGACTGTCATTATCCCTCTTGATTGAGAGTGCATGCATGGACTATACCCTTGGGGGCGCCCTTTACATAGCGGACAGGTGGACGTAACCACGGCTTGAGGATGGTCTGAAAAGCACGACGGCGGGCTCAGGCTAGCCGTTGAGATCTGATTGGGGCTGTATGGCATTGTAGTTGACATCGTAGAGTGCGACGAGTGTTTAAATATTCTGCGAGAAGTTGTTCGAAGTAGTAGTGAGATGCAAAGTTGAGCCTGCAGAGTTTGATGAAGCAGATCGATGCAGCGAAACGACCATTGAAACGAGGCATCGTGACTTAACGTCTGTTATATACGGTTGCAATGAGATCATATCTGCTTCGATGCCGTGTCGACAATGTGCATGCTTACTACTCGTCATAGTCTTTGGCGAATATTGCAACGGCCTGTCGCGCTGGCACTCGCGTGACGTTCCAGGAAACTAGATAAGAGAAGCTGCGTAACTATCGTCAAAGCGAATGGTTGTTGGGAGTGTGAGACGCTGTAGTCGTCATTTCTAGGGTTGCACTCACCGGCCTTGGAGAGAGCCCGGTCTATCGTGATCGTGATGAAAAAGTGCCAGGGGTGAGCCAGTAGACACGCGTCGGATAGCAGGCTCTTGTTCCACCAATCATACTCGTGCCTTGGACGCGTCTGGGGTAACCATCATTGCGTTGTAACAACAGCCTCGACCCAAGGTAAGGTTGGACCCAAACCGGTGAATGCAAGTTCGTTCATCTGCCGCACTGATCATGTGCCGGCAGCTTCGCTCGTTTATGGCGCCGTATTGCTCCTAGATATCGTGAACGACTTGAGCAGTGCCTGCATACCAACCTTCCCGATACAGCGGTGAGTACGCGGAACAGTTTCCCCTGACCCGACAGGACGTTGACGGACCGGTCCCTGGACACGTAGTGTACGTTTCGTATCTTCAAGTTCCACGAACGCCCAGATCTTGATCGCATTCCCGATAAGCAGATGAAGGCGACACACTTTGGTGCGGTAGTCATTCCGTCTACCAGGAAATGCCGCAGAAAACAACCGAGACTACACTAAGTTTCACCGCTTCTTTTCTTTTGCGATCCAATCATCACCTGGGTGCTCCGATATATCTTCGGAAACAGCGCCGTTGCGTCAGATCGTTGCAGGTGTCAACACTGTTCCACGGCTAATGCTGTGGCCGACTCGTTGGGTTGGAGAATACGCATCCGGGACTTCGCACCAAGTTGGTGAAAACTAGACAACCACGTCTTCCTTATCGGAAGATGACCGAGTCATCACAGTCATGAGACTAGTCGGAGGAGAAAGAACCACCCTCTGCTCGGCTAGCCATGACAGCTCATATCATCATCGTCAAGAGTTCTGTGCAACATACGAATCGTTCCAATGTCAGGCCATATCTCGCACATGCCACCCGACAAAGCATGTCTCGGACTCTCGGGTACGTGGTCCTTGGAAGCTTTGTCCTGGTTCCTTGCGCGACGCCGGGTGAACGCCGGGCGCAACATGCATGCTTATGCAGTTGAAGTCTGGTATGCTTACAACCAAATCTGGGTGAGCACATTGAAGACGTGCACATGACATGAAGAATCTTCTTTTGGACCGACACCGACGTAATGACGCCACGATGCGTTGACATGACCTTTGTGAAAGAAGCGCATAACAGTCATCGCAGTGACGAAGCCTTGCAATGTAGAGGGGGGTATCGTAAGCGATGATGATCATACGAAATGTGGACTCGAGTTTCCGATCCGTGACCCCCCGTTTATCTCCGGTCCAGCGTCACCGGTCCACGCTACGATGCTGGTGTTCGCTAGTGAAGGGATCGATGGAGTGACCCGATGAAGAAGGAGAGGAAATGTAACAGTCGCGCCGCGAAAAGCTCTTAGGCGAAATCGAAACCTGATGCTGCTGTGACCCGTAGCGTGGCGGCAACATGGCCTTGAACATGGCTGTTGTAGCTCGGGAAAATTTACCGAAGTAACGACAGCGCTTGCTAAAGCATGAATGCCGACTTGTAAGCCTCAAACGAACCTTGATGGCACGACTTGATGACAATGTACAACACAGGGGATACAGCGTTACCACAGCGCACATGAATCGAACACGCGTCAACGGGCCGCATAAGTGCGAACTGTGAGAGTTCTTCCCGAGTTTTCGACGGTGCAGCAACAACAAAGGCATGTCTCAAGCGGGGAAGGAGGCTCCATAGATTGAGACTGTCGTTGATGTTGTTCAATAGCGGATGCGTGATGGACCTTCGATGATCAACGTCATAGGGTCACGCCTTCGCGTCAAAGAGAGTAGTACAGGGGACTCGTACTTCTGCAGGAAAGATCTCGATTCGAAGTGCCTTTCATAGGTGTCGTGAGGTCGTACGCGGTCCATGCGTTTTGTGTGTCTCGGAGAAGGCAGCTTGATGGTTCCGTTTTCGGACTGCTGATCAGTATAACATCATGCGTCAGACATGGGGCTGGGAAGAAAGCCTCACGGAATGCTAGGAGGAACGTAGACCTGTTGTGGTGATTGATGCTACGCCAGAAGGCAGGAGAGGAGGAGGTTGGGGCGGAAGTGGGGCCCCCTTATTAGGTAAGCACGGTGGATCTTAGCTCGTATAGCGTCATGGCAGTCACCGTAGACAAAACTTCTGCATCGTAACCGTATCAATATGGCTGCTACCCGTGTAATAGGCGAATATGGAGAAATGCCTCGAAAATCATTTGTCGCCATTCCACATTGACTCACAGCACCCCTTATAATCGCGAAGAGCTCCAGCACACCCGACCCGCGATCGATCGCTTACAAATACACCGCTTTGTTCCTGACTACACGAACACTCCCTCGTTCTTCACATGTTTCTTGCCTTTCTTCGCCTTTTCGTCCGTCGCGTCGGGCTCGCAGTCCTCTGGTCACGTGGACCACGGATGACCCTCCGGGCCGAGCTTCGCATTCAGGAATCCAAGCTTGAGCAGCTTCTGCTCGGTGATCTCCTGCTTATGTACCTCCATCTCGTCGATATCCCCTGGGAAGATCAGCAGTAACAAATAAAGAGTTGGAATAGAATGAGATACGTACAGTTGACGCTGACGAATGAGCCCTTGAGGTAGTCGGCCTTGGGCTGCGCAAGGTACAGCGATAAGCCACCCGTCTGTATGCCCTTGTCGTGCGCAAACGGCGTGAGCTGGTCGACGACCATACCGCGCTTTGACTCGGTCGCAGCGACGATACCAGGGTGCACGGTGAAGACGCGAAGATTAGGCTTCTCGGCGTCCAGGTACTCGGCCAACTTGAGCAGCGCCATCTTGCTGCCCGAGTAGGCGCTCATGCCGGGGACTGTGAAGGACGAGCCGAGCGTGTTTAGCAAGATGAGCGTACCTGACTCAACGGCCTTGAGGTAGTAGTATGCGAGAATATACGAGCCCTTGACGTTCACCTCGTAGTCGCTGAACCAAGCGCTAAGTTCAAGGTCGCCGACAGGTCCGCCCGCCATACTACCCGCGGCATGGACCACGACGTCAACGGTGCCAAAGGCATCGGTCGCCTTCTTGAACAGGTTCTGGACTTCGTCCTCGTTGGTCAGGTCGGCGGTGGCGCTGAGGACCTTGGTCTCGAGGCTGAGGGAGGCGATGGCGTTGGCGGGCTCTACCAACAGATCTTTGTTGCGGCCGACAAGCACGATGCCCTTAGCGTCGGCTACAGCCCAGGCACGAGCCACTTCCTATTCGTTGGCGTCAGCATCCATCTCGCGCGATCGACAACGGACCATCTTACGCCTCCTAAACCGCCTGTAGCGCCCGTGATCAGGATGGTCTTGCCCTTGGCGCTTAGAGTGGGGTTCTTGGGGTCGATGGCCGGGTACACATCGCGCTTGAGCGACTTGGTGAGCTGGAACGGGGTCGTGAAGGCGTTGGGGTCCATGGTGAGGATGGGGAGATTGCGTTGGAGGAACAGCGGCAGAGAAAGTGGTAAGAAGAAAAGGTGTTCAAGTGATTGAAAAGTGTGAAGCGTAGGGATTTGGATTGCTCTTGTTGCGATTATGTGTGCAGCAGCGACCATCGACAGCCTCAAATAATTGCGGCGTCAGCCTTGTGCAACGCACCGCCAGGCACTGTCGAGCAACGTGCATACTGTATTATCTCAGCTGTGATGCGAGCAAGGGACTGATTTACAAGCAGCAGACGCGAAGCGAAGGCCGACACCGAATTGTATTTCAAAGCATGACTCGGGTCCCGCGCTAGAAACCCCCTTCCTTGACGCGTGATCATTTGCTTTCTAAGTTTGCGAAGCCGCCAGTATGTTCGTGATTGCACGAGCATTTCTTTAGTATACTGACGTGTCGTCAGACTTAATTCGCTCTCCAGTACCGTTCAAATCATTTTGCGAAGCTT